AGAAAAGAGAAAAGGGAACAGGATGAATAAAGGAAAGTAAAACAAAGTCCATGGCATTAGGGAATAGAAACAACCTCTCGCCTACTCAGAGGTTAGGATTCATCAGTAGAAGTTCCTGGAGAAACTGGAAAGTAGGATGAAACAAATTCTGAAGAAACAGGCATGAAAGTTCAAGTAGTTTAGACTTCATTTTGTAGTCCAAGTTGTCAGTCATGATGTCACCAGACCCTGGTGTGTATAAAGATTACAGATAATATATGTTTTTATTTTAATTATTCTCTTTGTAACTTGGAACTTGTGAATATGCAGTATTTACAATCCTGGAAAATTCTTAGCCATTTAGTCCTTGAATATGGTTTCTCATCTATTTGCTTTGTTCTCTCCTTCTGGGACTTCTACAATGAACCTTTATATATCATTTATACATATAAAAGATAGGGAAAATATTGAATCAATTCTAAAACATTAAAAATTAAATTGTATACTCCAGTACTTTGGGTATATATTCGATGTTAAAAGATCATTATCTACTATCTCATATATTTGTTTTCATAAAGATGAATTATTTCCCTCTATACCTTAGAATATATATTTAGATTCAGTGCCAACTACATAGAAATTTCTCAAGTACTTTTCACCTCATCCTAATCCATGTTTTTAAGTCTTAGGACTTAATTTCTTTCTTGGGAAAACATATAAATGATAATATATTTCCATTAAAATGTGTGAGTGCATTGCAAATTAAAACTAAGATTAACAAACCTCCTTAGGATAAAGAGTTGTTTCTAAAGTTTCTGTATTAAAGGGGACCACTTACCTATGATGAGCTTCTGAAGAGCACCCTTATCTCCATTAACAGCAGCAGCATGAACCTGTGATGCTAATGAGGAACCAGTAAAGAACAAGTTCTCTGACTTGTTCATAGTCTTCTCAACAACTGGACTGACCTGAAACAATGAATTAGACAATAAATATATGCAGGAAACACTTTGAAACCTGTCTCACCAGTTCCTAGTGGGAAAGTTACAAATATGGTTTACTAGAAATATTTTACTAGGATTCAAAATAATCTACAGTCCTAGTCCTAGAATTGCCATAATGTAGCAAATTAGGGGACCTTTGTACAAGTTGCTCATCTGAAAAATGGAAGGTCTAGGTACTTCTTGGACCCTCCTAAGACCATATATGAGGAAAAAAAAGGATCAATATTTAACATTAGGCACCAGACTTATAAGTCACAGTGACTTCTAAGTTAATACAAATAATATAATTCTACATAATACTTAAAATTGGAATTGATATTGGGAATAAAGGTGATGACCAAGCCACAAAAAGGGTATAATGCATACTTAATTGTGGAGTCAGAATTAACTAGATTTAAGCACTAAGTTAAAAATTACCTAGTTCTTTCCCTTATGCGCACAAGAGTGAAATTTTTATTTGTTCTTTTCTTGGTCCACCAGGAAAATATACCTAGATGAAGATCTTGGCCGTAGGCTCTTACTTGGAATACCATATCATTAGGATAATGATATTTCATTAGGGAAAATTTTGTTCTGACTAGTACTCTCTTGTGGTTTGTAAAAATCTTTTAGAAATGCATTAGTTCTGTAGGTAAATACTGAGTTTCCTACAGTAAGAGTGTTTAAGACGAGGGGGACTATGTCAGAAATGCAGCATGAATTTAAGTATCTGATGGGAAGGAAAGAGAGGTAATTATATCAGTGATCTTAAACATCCATCCTAAACTTAAGATGCTATATCCAGGTTACCAAGTTGAATGCCTATAAGGACCAGAGAGGTTACAAGTGTAAGAAAGGTAGAGACACATGGGATAATGGCAAACTGATACATACACACTTATCTAAAGGGAACAGCTATTAATCAGCTAGTTAAATGTACCATGAGAGTAGGGCAAGTCCTCTTCTAATTTCACCAAAAAGCATGTTGTTCCAATCTGTTAATCCTGGAAATCTGGAAGTTTTGTAAAATAAATTTGTTAGAACTGATGAGCTAGTACATTGACAAAGACTATTGGTTCAAATTCTGCCTTAGAAAAAATATTTTCTTAATTATGGTAAAGGTCAGCTCTTTATGTATTCTGCTGACAATTTGAGTTAACATGCTGGCAGAAAATTTGGAGGAAGAGGGTGTTGTGAGATACTTCTGTCATGTCTTAGCATGTCTGTCAAGTCAGAAGAGCCACTGTCATATGCAGGATTATATTAATAAGTCACTTGAGAGAAGATACAAAACAGAGGTGGAGGTGGAAACATGGTAGAAGATAATTGCACTTAATAATAAGCAGTATGTTGCATGTTTATTGCAGCATTATTCACAATAGCAAAAACGTAGAACCAATTGTGCTGCCCATTGAGAGCTGACCATTGAAAGAGGACTGAATAAAAAATGTGGTACATATACACAATGGAATATGATGCAGCCATAAAGAAGTACAAAATTACGAACTTTGCAGCAACCTGGATGGACTTAGAGTCTATAATACTGAGTGATCTATCACAGAAACAACTGAATACCATGTGTTCTCACTCATAAGCAAGACCTTGAACAATTATAATACTATAAGAAAGGGATTGGCAGTAGTGGGAAACTGTAGGGGGTGGGGCACACCTCATCAACAAGGGTACCTGCATAATGAACATTTGTATATCTAATCCTGAATTGTACCCCACATCTTTAAAATGAATTTAAAAAATAATAAGCAGTGTGCCCTCTGGGTTTCCATATAATATAAAAAATGAAAAGAATGAATTATATTCATTTATTCAACAAGCCAAGTGCCAACGATGTGCTAGGCATTGTTCTGCACTATAAGATCTGTCATTTTAGAATGTAAGTAATCAGAGTTTTAGGCATATCAGAATCACAAAAAGCTCTTTATATCCTTTGAAAAATACACTAAAAATTAAATTGCAGTTATTATGCATGTGTATATACGGGGGTGCCAAAAATATATATACACATTTTAAGTATGATGTTCACTCAAAAGATGGCATTAATCAAACGAATGCAAATGTCACCATGTGACAGGCAGGACAGTCAAAGAAAATGGGGGAAGCACGGTTGAGCAAACGTCATAGTATACATTGCTACTGTGATTCAGTTCAACTTCGAAAAGAATACATAGATAACATTTCTTAAAATGTGTATAGTTTTTTTGGGATGCCTATATGTGTGTGTGTGTATGTGTATGTGTGTATCATCCCATATTTCTTAGCACTTAGCATTAGTAGAGGGTATACAGTTGGTGCTCAGTAAATGTTTACTGAATGAAAGATCACAGGCCAAGTGCTAAGTCCAAAGGGTAAGCAGGATCAAAGTTTAATTGCTTAAAATAATAAGTTCATACCCATGAGTCTCTGCTCTTTAAAATTTTCCCATTTCAACTGTACTTGGGTTCTGTCAGAGGTGTAGGTGAGTGGTATAGAGATGAGTGCTGGGTAGGAGTCACAGGACCTAAGAAAGAGTACTAGCTTTGTCACTATCTAATTTTGCCAACCTAAGAAAGCCATCTTCTAGGGTTCTTTTTTAGCACTACTCATGTTTTGTGAATCTTTTTATTTATTTATTTTTTGAGGTAGAATCTCACGCTGTTGCCCAGGTTGGAGCGCAGTGGCACACTCACCGCCACCGCAGCATCGACCTGCTGGGCTCCGGGGATCCTTCTGCCTCAGTTTTCCAAGTTGCTAGAACTACAGGCACGCACTACCACGCCCGGCTTATTTTTGATTTATTGTAGAGACGAGGTCTCGCCAATTTGCCTGGGCTGGTCTCGAACCCGAGGGCTCAGGCAATCCACTTGCCTCGGCCTCCCAAAGTGCTGGGATTACAGGCTGAGTCACCGAGCCCGGCCTGAATCTTTTTAAAAATAGATGAAAACCACCTTGTTAAAGTGCACAAAATGCAAAGGTATCATCATCATTAACTGATTATAAAATAAACCGTGTAATAAATGCTCTCGTTATAACTGTACAAAACCAGTGGGGCTGCAGTCACACTCGAATGACGGGTAATTCTGATTAGGACTAATTCTGATTTTGTTCGGGAAGTTCTTAGGGAGTAAAGCCATTCCGGACAGCAGGAAAGCTGGAGCAAAGGCAGGGAGGGAGGAGAACCACAAAAGCGCAAAGTAAGTGCCTGCTGAGTACTTTAAGTAGAGATCGTGTGGGCGCTTGGACCTGGCTGAGTGTTTGTAGAAGATGCTGGAGAGCTACCAGGGGGCAGGTTAAGATCCTCGACTGCTTGGCTAAGGAGTTTCGTAATTATCCTGTAAGAGTCATCCGCGCATTAGCATCAATCACTCTTGCACTGAGCTTTCCAGTTTGCAATGTGCCTTACCATCCCTTATCTATCTACTCCTTACATGAGCCCTCAGAGACAATTAGAGATAAAGCAAAGGCTCATTCAACTGAGACCCTGAGAGGTGGCTCTGACTTTATAATGCAGGAATTAGAGCAAAAAGAAGAGGTAGCAGGCGAGGAGGACAATGAGGGAGGCTCAGGCCCCAGCCTAGGCCAAGAGAGCCTTGAGGCCGGCGGCAGGGGCCAAAGGCGGTGCAGACGGATCGATCCGAGCCTCCCCAGCCAGGCCCCCTCCTACTCACCCTCGCCTCCGCCAGGACTGACGTCCCGGGGGCGGCTCCAGGAGGCGCGACCCGGACCGGGCCGCTCCTCCTGCCAGGCCAGGACACTACACCCGGCGGGGTCAGATCCCGCCACGCTGAAGCTTGCGGAGCCCCTCAGAAGGCCGCCCGAGGCTCTCCACCGCACAGCCTTCTGGGAATTGTAGTTCCCGTCCTCTAGAAACACCCGCCTCCCCGCCCTTTCTATCCCACAGGGCCGCGCGCGTGGAGGACTCGGTGGACCTGGGCGGAGAGCCTAATGGGAAGGGGAGTTCTACATATCCGATCACGGACTCGGTGAGGACGGTGCAGGACTACATTTCCCGGCATGCTCCGAGGAGGGCAGGACCCGGAAGGGAGGGTGTACGAGGCCTCTCTGGAAGTTGTCCCGGGTGTTCGCTGTTGGAGCCCGGGTCGAGAGGACGAGGTGCAGCTGCCGGGAGGATCCTCCGCTGCCGCCGGCTCTCGGAGCCCAGCCCTTTCCCAACCCAGCCCAGCCCAGCCCAGTCCCAGCCGCCGACGCCTGTCCCTGCCGCGGACCCCAGCATTACCATGAATTCCGCTGTCTTCCTATCCCTACCCGACCTCAGATGCTCCCTGCTGCTCCTGGTGAGTGAGTGAGGGAATGACAGACCCTTCGACAGACGCACAAACGACCTCCCGCCCTCGCGAAGGGGGAACACTAATGTCTGTGCCCTTGCTTTCCCATCTTTTCTCCGGAGTCGAGGAGTGCACCCTCCCCCAACTGCTTTTGCTCTCACCATCCGTCTGTCCGCTTTCAGGCCCGGGGTCCCCGAGGCCTGAGAAACCACGGTTGGGGGTTGGGACCTGCGAACTGGAGAATTAGCTGAGGGAGAGGGATACTTGGGGGCAAGGGGTGGTCACGGCAGGGGAGCTTCTCCGTAACCCCGGAGTACGGGGGTTCTTGTAGTTTCGAGGGCTTGTGGACCTGATGGCAGCTTGAATCGGAAAGGACTAAGGATGGAGTTAGCGTTCTTTCCCACCCTCTCGGTTTGGGAAGGGTGTGAGGCCGACAGGTGCCGGGGTCGTGCAACTCTCACTCTAGATCCCTGAAACGGTGCCCAGTTTGGCAGAGCCCTCTGTTGTGGCTTGATGCGATTGGTTGGGAACCCGGAACTGGAGACTGGTTTGGTGTCCACTAAGGAATAAGGGCTTGAAGGGTGGAGGATGTGATTACCTGACAGCTCTCACTCAAGGCCTTCCCAAATCTTGGTACAGCCTATTCCCCCCAACCTCTTCACCTCCCCTGTTGAAACAGATTTCTTCTTCAGTGTGCCTGATTTGAGAATGACCAGGTCTTTTGCATAGATATGCACTCATCCCTTAACTGCCTCACCTCCTTAGTCTCATCTCATCTCATAAGAGAACATTTCCTCAGTCCGTTTTCCTCTAAGTACATCTTGAGCCTGCAGCCTAAGGGACCCAGGCTTCAGGTCAAATTGACACAAAAGTGAAGGACTGCATCCGTGTGGCAAAATGATGCACATTTCATTGGGCTGTTAGTATAATACAATATTTGAAAATACTTTAATTGTAGTGGATTTTTAGAAATCTAAATTTAAGATAAACATTATTAAGAACCACTTTCTTTACAATTTAAAATACAGAATTAAGTGACTCACAGGAGGCCGTATACTGGCAGAATTGGGATCTGGAACAGGTTTCTTGACTTGCAGTGCTTATTCCATCATATTACGCTACGTTTTTAATATTTGTGTTTGAAATAGTTCCGTCTCTCTCTCTCTCTCTCTCTCTCTCTCTTTTCTTTCCTCACTAGGACCTTTTCTGAAAAGGTACTATAAAAAATCTACATGGAATGTCAAAGTACTTTTGAAAACTAAAAGTTATGTATAAACGTGGTAGTATTAAATTATTAGCATGCCTTATTGCCACTTCTTATAAGTATACAACAGTGAACGACTTCTGTACAGAGGAAAATATTCTGTATAGTGCTGTTTCTTGGTGATTACATTATACTCATATATTTTTTTCTTTTCTTGAAGTGTTGGAATAATACTGGTTATTAGTGATCACTCTCTCTTTAAGCACACTAGATATTTATCTTTTCCTTATTCATAAAATGACTCGAATTATGAGTTGTGTGGTAGAAATTACGTTTAGGTTACTGAAAAGTGCAAAGGGCAAAAATCTTAAGACACTGGAAAGAAAAGTTGAGACACTATCCAGGAAAACGATTTCAGATGCACTTTCCTTAAATGGTATGTTTGGTTGTTAAGAAGAGAAAATAATTTGGAAATAACTCATGCTTTTTACAGAAAATCTACCAATCCTGTTATGTATATAAGAGTTTTTTCCAAATGGAATCTAGACTTAAGTGAAATCTAGTTAACATTTTGTATATTTATCTTTCTAAGCAAATGTAAAGGAATGAAAATCTAGGAGACATTTTGGAGAACACTTGTAAAGATGAGTGGGCTGAGAAAGAAAGCCTCAGAAAATGTTTAATAAACCAGAATTACAGGTCAAGCTACATTCAGTTTGAATACTGTGTTTGCCTAGGTTTTAAATAATCATGTATTAGTTAGCATATTTATAAAACATCTAATTGGTAATTCTGTCCTACTGATAGAAACTGCTTACTCAGTAACCCACCTGTCTAATAATTTGTCCTCTCTTTCCCAGTGTACTTTTTTACTTCTCCAATGCTCTCTCTCAGACCTCAAGTTTTATTCCCACATACAACCATAGAAAATGAAAGTTTCCACTTAGTTGAAGTCATCGTTTTTTCCTTATATTGCCTGCTTAAAAAGCCATATAATCTCTTACTATAATAATTTTCTTTAGGTACTTTATACCTCTGCCCTAAAGACCTAGACCTTTTCAAACTTAGCAGTGTTCATAACTAAGTCTAATTTTCATAAGCTGAAACATAATCCTAAACTTCTGGGGTAAGTAGCTATCTTTTCCCTGATCTCAAAAACATTTTGGAACAAACCACTCTATGCCTAAAAAGCCTTTCTGGATGGGTAACTAAACACAAAAGTTCAATGTGATGACTTTTTTCGTATATATGTTTAAAAGTCCTTTTCTGCCTATCTTTCCAACTGAGATGGGTTTATTGAGGATTAAAAGTAATCATTTCTGCCAGGTATAATGGCTCATGCCTGTAATCCCAGCACTTTGGATTTGGGAGGCCAAGGCTGGAGGATTGCATGAGTCCAGGAGCTCAAGACCAACCTGGGCAACATCATGAGACTTTGTCTCTACCATAAACAAACAAACAAATAAATAGCTGGATGTGGTGGCATGTGTCTATAGTACTAGCCACTCAGGAGGCTGAGGCTGAGACAGGAGGATCTCTTGAGGCCAGGAGTTCAAGTCTGCAGTGAAGTGGGATCGTGCCACTGCACTCTAACCAGGGCAGCTGAGTTTTAAAAAAGTGATTATTTCTCCTTTAGAGTAATTATTTCCTAGCGTTGTTCTTTCTGCTGTGGGTATGTACAAGAGTTTTGAAAAGGTGAGATAAGAGAGAAATAAGACTAAATTGGAATTAAGTTGTCTTATATACCCTTAGTTATCTCTTGTGTTCAGAGATTTGTAACTCTGTACTCCAGTTGTTTTACTGATGTTTTCTCGTTATACTCTTCATAGTTATGTTTATAGACCATAGGTTGTTACTAGCCCTACTTGCCCTGTGCGTGAACACTTAAGAATTTTGTTCTAGTCGGGCTCGGTGGCTCAGCCTGTAATCCCATGCCTTTGGGAGGCTGAGGTGAGTGAATTGCCTGAGCCCACGGGTCGAGACCCGCCTGGGCAGCGAGACCTCATCTCTACAATAAATCAAAAAATCAGCCGGGCATGGTAGCGCATGCCTGTAATTCCGGCTACTCGGAAGGCTGAGGCGGAAGGATCGCCGGAGCCCAGCAGGTCGAGGCTGCGGTGGCCGCTCGGCCACTGCACTCCAGTCTGGACGACAGAGTGAGACTCCAACTCAAAAAAAAAAAAAAAAGAATTTTGTTCTTGATTTGTTCAATATGTATCGAAATCCAAGAAAAGTTTGCTTGGTTTAGGAAGCTGGAGAGCTAAGTTAATATTTATTGAAAAATAAGTACTGTAGAATTCAGAGAGGACAGTTTTAGCCATTAATGTTAATAATATATGCAGATTCTTCAAGAAGAGTACTTTTGGAGGCATGTAGTTCAATTGATAACTAGGTACATTATTTATCTTGTTGATATAACGTTCCCCAGATCAGTGGTTTAAAAAACCTGGTTGCTCATTAGGATCATCTGTGGCAGTTTTAGTAAAACGATGTTTGAGTCCTATCTCAGATCAGTTATATCTGAGTCCTGGAAATTAGTTTTCTAAAATATTTCCCTGGTGATTTTTTTTTCTTAGTATGTCTCTCTAAAGGATAAGACTTAAACAAAAAGCAGAATACCATTATCATATCTAGAAAAATTAACAGAAATTTCTTCATATCATTAAATATCGAATCGTGTTTATATTTTCCTGAGTGTTCCTTTAAAAAAAAAAAAATTAACAGATTGCTCAAAAACTTTATAAAGTCCATGTATCCCAATTGGTTCATTTGTCGCTTCTAATACTTTTTTGAGCCTCTACGTTCCCTCTCCATCTCATCTTTTTTCCTTGTAATTTACTTAAGAAGCTAGATCCTCTTTCCTGTAGAATTTTTCATATTCTAGATAATGCTGATTGCATCCTTATGGTGTGGTTTTAGAATTCTTTGTTTTTTGTGATTCTTATAAATTTGTAATTTCATTTATATGGTCTTAACCACCAGCTCAGAATATATTGTTAGGTTCATTTAATTCCATTTATCTTTCAATTTTTAGTTTTAAACATTTATCTTTTATAATTATGTAAAATTTACTGCCTTCAAAGCCAAATCAATAAAGCAAACTATAGTTGGGTAAGTCTAATTTCTAGCTGTCTCTTCTCCATCTTATCTCCCTCCTAATATAGGAAAACATAAAAAAGTTTTTTTTAGACCTTCCTTTAAAAAATCTACAAGCTATTTGTATTTATGTATGCATATATTTGTTTTCCTTCCCCTTTGACTAAACTGTGGCATATTACTCACATTTTCTCCACCTTTTCTTTAAACTTAAAAATTTATTCTAGAGGTAGGGATATAAATACTTTTTATTTCTTTTTAACTGCATATGCCTCACTGGGTAGATTCCAATTCACTGTCATTACCATTCTTTTACCATTACAAATGTTCTGCAAGCATTAGCTTGTATATACATGATATTGATAGTGTACTTTTTTTTTTTTTTTTTTGAGTTGTAGTCTCACTCTGTCGCCCAGACTGGAGGGCAGTGTCTGCTCCCGGCCACCGCAGCCTCGACCTGCTGGGCTCCGGCGATCCTTCTGCCTCAGCCTTCCAAGTAGCCGGAATTACAGGCATGCGCTACCACGCCCGGCGGATTTTTTTATTTATTGTAGAGATGAGGTCTCGCTGCCCAGGCGGGTCTCGAATCCGTGGGCTCAGGCAATCCACTCATCTCAGCCTCCCAAAGGCGCGGGATTACAGGCAGAGCCACCGAGTGTACTTTTAAGATAAATTTCTGTAAGTGGTATTGCTAGGGCAAAAGGTAAAT